TGGGGTGTGTTTGAGTAGAGAAACAACTAAGATGCGCAGGATAGCTGATCACAAGGCCCAGGATTAGGAACCCCTTATCTAGAGTTTCCAGTTAACATGACATGTGTGCTTTAGGCTGTGGGATGAAACCAGAGTACACAGAGAAAACCCACACATGCAGAAGTAGAGCATCCACCCTCCATGTCAGTTCTCTTGTTGGCTCTTCCTTCTTCCATCTCAGGAACGTTGCTAAGCTGAGTCCCATTCTGTCCCGCTCTGAACTTGAGACAGTTCTCCACACCTTCATCTCCTCACGCTTAGACTACTGTAACTCTCTTTTCACGTGTCTGAGCAGAACCTCCCTGAACCGTCTACAGGTGGTTCAGAACGCCTGTGCTCGGCTTCTGACCAAGTCCTCCAAACACACCCACATCACCCCGCTTCTCCTCCAGCTTCACTGGCTGCCAGTCACCTTCAGGGTTCATTTCAAGATCCTGGTTCTGGTCTATAGGGCCTTACATGGACAAGCACCATCTTACATTGGTGGTCTTCTTAGTCCCTACACCCCCAGCAGGTCCCTGAGGTCCAGTCACCACAGCCTACTGGTTGTGCAGCACCAGGCTAAAGGTCAAAGGTGACAGATCATTTGCTGCTGTGGCCCCCAGACTCTGGAGCTCTCTCCCCCTGAGCCTGAGATCAGTGGACTCAGTGGTCGCCTTTAAACTCCCCTGTTCAGGCTTTGGTGGGACCTTCTCTTCATCCTCTTCTTCTTCTCTTGCTTCTTTTCAGGCTGGCATTTCTGTAAATTCTGTCTTTTTTGGGCCACCGTGCACAAGCGGCCAAAATTAGTTTCTCCACAAGGTGTCTGGACTCTCCCGTAGAGAGAGGGTGAGAAACTTGGCCATCTGGGAGGGGCTCTGTGTAGATCTGCTGCACTTACACATCAAGAGGGGCCAGTTGAGGTGGCTCGGGCATCTGGTTGGGCTGCCTCCTCGACATCTCACTGATGAGGTTTTCCGGGTACGTCCAACCAGGAGGAGACCTAACGGAAGATCCAGGACACGCTCGAGAGACTATGTCTCTCAGCTGGCCAGGGAACGCCCTGGGATTCCCCTGGAGAAGTTGGCCCAGGTGCCTGCGGAGAGGCAAATCCTGCGACCTGACTCCAGATAAGCGGCTGACAATGATGGATGTGATTGGATGAGTTTAGGTACAGCTGTTTCTCACCTCTGGATGCTGTCAGCCCCTCATATGTTTGTAGACCAGGAAGCATGGATGAGTCTGGAGAAATTGTGGGGGACAGCCATTCTTCCTGAGCTCAGGATGGTTTCCAAATCCCCCTCCCTAACATTCTTCTGGACTCAAAGGAAGCCTGGGACAGAAGTGGCCAAAACTGGCACAGACCACCTTGCTGTTGCCAGGGGCAGCCACATTACCCAGGCGTTCCTGAGGCCTAGCTTCTTTTATCTTCTGTTCTCACCTCACTTCCTGGTTTGGACAAGGAAGATCATGCACCAGTTGGCTGTCAGTGGCCTGGCTTTTTTATATTGTAGAACATCTCCTCATTCCTGGCATCATCAGGCTGTTGTCAGATGGGTT